CAATTTCAATTTAAATCAAATAATGGTACTCTATTCAGTTGTTCAGAATTTGGTCCTGTAATAGTTAAATAGTCTTATTCAATAAGAAAACATTTTTATTTTAATTCATTTTTTATTCTTCAATAATAAATATTTAAAATTATAAAACAATTTAATGTAAAAAGAATTCTTCTTATTCTTTTGGTTTAGGAACCACTTTTAAATCAAATGCATTCTCTCCTCCCCATCTGTATTGACAAACCGTTCCATTCTTCCATTTAACTTCAACCCATCCTTCATCACAAACATCGATAACTTCTCCAATTTGTCCTTCTCCTCCATCTTGATCTTTCCATTTCCAATCTCTTCCTCTAACAACACTTTTACCAATAACCCAACTAGTAGGTTTTTTAATTTGTTCTTCTAATGGTGGAATATCTCCTAAATCATCTACTATTTCAACTACTTTAACATCATAAGCTTTATCAACTCCCCACCTGTATCTATTCTCATTTCTACTTGACTCCCATTGTACTTTTACCCATCCATTACCTTTTACTCCCACTACTTTACCAAATGATCCAATTCCACCATCTTGGTCATCCCATTTCCAATCTTCTCCTCTTTGAACTCTTTTTCCAAGTAATTCTCCAAGAGGAAGATGTTTATCTCCTGTCTTTTCTACTTTTTCTGGCTCTTTAACTGTAGACAATGCTCCAATTATTTTTTGAGACTTGGTTTTACAGTCTTCGAGTTTTGTTTTTAAGTCTTCTTCATAAGATTTTAGATATTCAGTTCCTGCAACAACTGTAAGTGGAAGGATTTGAAGAAATACTTTTTCGGTTGCTTGACCTACTTGTTGGGCAAAATTCGTAACTGTTTCAATAAAAATTGCTTTAAAAGCGTCTTTTTGTTCTTGAGTTAATGACATAACTTTTTTAGTTCTCTTTATGAAATTATCATTTCTCCAATCTCATTTTTTATTTTATAACTTGTTTTTATCTCAAAATTGTTTTATGAATTTTAATGGCATATTATTAAGTTGATAACATCCACAGCCATATCACCATCTCCTCTTGTAACTTTCATTAACAAAAGTAAAGATATGTGCTATTAGGTGTTTATTATATTGTCATATATAACAAAATAACAATTTAAGAGATCAAAACAATTTAGTTGGTGTGAATTTAATCAAAAGTGGTGATGTGATAAGATTTTAAAGTTATAGTTTATTTTTTAATTTCAGAGTGAGGACTATATTTTTTTATTATGAACAAATTGAGAGATTGTTTTGGAAGGAAGAAAAATATAAAGATAGGTTTTTCATAATTGAGATACTCTTTCAAATTCTAAACATAAGGAAATTTCAAGCGGAGTTTAAAAATGTACAAAAGATCTGTTAAAGTTCAGTCTTACAAAAAATGGATTGGGCATTATTTGGTTATGTTGTTGCAACTTTTTTTATTTCAATTATTGGAGGGCTTATTCCATTTCTTATTAAACTAGTCAAAAATAAAACTATTGCTATTAGAGTTATTAATATTGCTTCAGTTGCTGCTTCGGGATTATTCCTTGGTGGTGGGATTTATCATATGTTAGCAGAAGGATTAGAAATGATGGAAGAATCAGGGTATTCATTTGGAGGATATCCTTTAGGATGGACATTGTTTGGTGTAACATTCTTTTTAATTTTCTTTGTTGACAGAGTGATTGTTCCTCATTCTCATGGTTCATTTGAAGATAGTGATAGTGAAGAGGATAACTATACTTTACTTCATAATGACGAACATCATTCTCATCATCAACATACAGCAGCAGATACATTCCAAGAGTGGACAACAATTGTTGTATTAGTTGTTGCACTCTCTATTCATTCATTCCTTGAAGGTCTTGGGTTGGGTTCTGCTAATAAATACTTAATGATTTTTGTTGCAATTGCTGCACATAAATGGGCAGATTCTGGACTTACTATTATTTATTTGATGAAGAAGATCAAACAATGGTGGGTTCTTCTAATTATTTTAATTATTTTCTCTTCATTTACACCACTTGGAGCTATCATTGGAAAATTTGTTATTGCATCATTAGATGATGAAAGTGTTTCATTATTAGTTCAAGGTATCTTCTGTTGTGTTGCTGCAGGTTCATTCTTCTTTGTTGCTATTGTTGAAATATTGTCTGAAGCATTTGAAGAGCATAACAATAAATATGTATTAGATAAATATCTAAAATTCGGATTGGCTTTCATTTTGTTTATTCTCATGTCATTGACTGTACTTCTTGAAGGAGAAGAAGGTGAGTCATCAGTATCTGAATAAAAACAATTGATTTTTGTTTAAAATATTTTTAGTATATATATACTTTAAATAAAATTACAATTTTAATTTTAATTCTTCTCTTTTAATTGTTGTATTCTCTTTTTCCTTTTCTTCAACTAATCTAAAAAGAAGAAATTATTATGAACTAAACATATAAGTAACTATAAAAATTATAACAAATTATATTGAATAATTATCTATGGATAGCAATAAGGAAAGAATAATAAAAGATTATTTAACTTTGATATAGTTGTATATGAGTATGGATTATGAAAATAGTATATTCTCTTTGAAGTATTTAAGAAAAAGTCAAGAAATAGAAGAGAAAAGAAAATATTAATATATTGATGAGAATGAGATTATATTTGATAATATCAAAAGAACAATGTATTAAATTAGAAAAAGAAGATTATTATACTAAAATGAAATTAATATTATGTAAATAAACAATAAACACGTATGAGAAGATAAAAAGAATAATATAAATATAAATATAAGAAGATAGAAAATGAGAAAAAGTAGAAGATGTGTAGTGACTGAGAAATAAAAAAAATGAAAAAGAAAGTAACAATAAATTAAGAAGATACAAGAAATGATAAAATGAATTGGAAAAAAAAAATAAATTGAAAAAAAATGATAAAGAAATATAAAAGAAAATAAAGAAATAAAAGATAAGATAATATAAAGATAAAATGAATATAAAAGAAACAGTATATGAAAATAGAATACAAAGATAGAAGTAATTATAAAAGAAAAAAAACAGATAATAAGAATATATAAGAATGGATAAATTGAATTAAAAATATGTTAATAAAATAAATGAAGGATACTAACACTTCTATTCATAGCAAAATAAATGAAATAAATAATAATTTTAATAACCGAATAATATTAAGTGATGAAGGAATGAAAAAAAGAAAATACTGAAATAAAGTATGAAAATAAAATAATAAAATATATAAAAAGAATCATAAGATTAGTTTAATTCATCAACAAATTAACCATTTTATTAATAGTGCTCACACATTTAACTAATGAAATAATTACTAATGAAATAAAAATAGAAATAAAATAATAGAGAATGATATGAAAACACAAATAAATAATGATAATATAAAAACACAAAAAGAAAATACAGAATTATTCATAAAATTCAATAAGTTATAATATAGAAATAATTAAAACACAAGAAATAAA